AAACTTGAAATAGCCATATTGCTGGTGTTGCATAATTGTATTTGAAAGATTCTTAGTCATATGTCCTGTTTAGAGCATACTTAAATTTGAAATTGTCTTAGTCATATGTTCTGTTTACAATATATTATTACAGAAAAAAAAAACACTCCTTGCTTACATTTTCAGGAATTAGTGTAAAATGTAATATTCTAAAGGCACCACAAGAAAAAATGTCAGCATCTCCCAGAAAATGATTCTACTTTCATCGTTCCCAAGATTTCTAAGATATTCTCTCTCACAATGTGTGTATGTGTTTCTGCATGTCTGCTTAAACCATGCGGCATCAACAGCATTGTTGCAAATTCTGATTTTATTTAGGCAACTTGCTTATAAAGCTATCGCTGTTGGCCTTTTATAATGAATGAATTGTGATGTCAAACTATTTTTCACAACATTTTGTGTTTTATAAATTCATTGATGAAGAATGGACTCCTGGGACTTTCCTATTTACATCCGAATCCGTTGGCGAAGGCCATCCAGGTCAGTCAGCAAAAATGACAATATGAATAGACTTTTTGAAAATCATTTTTGGAAATAATAAGAAATCAGTTTCTAAGCCTCTTAAAGAGGCTATATCATTCAGAGCTGTCTCAAACATTATTTAAGATCTTTGAAAAAAATAAAAATGAAAGACCAGAAAATTTTGTCTTGTAAGTTTGAGACATACTTTGGAGGGAATTTTTTTATGTCATGACATGTTTGTGTAAGAAAGGGAATGGGGGATTTCTGGAGCAATATGTATTTATTGTGCCAATGGTAGTGTTTTATGGTTGATTTGATGTTGTCTTGTAGTTTGTTTATATACGGGTGGGAATTGGCTGATCTGTGGACTGCGAGGTTTTTAATGTGCTAGCTTTGAGTTTATTTATGGTTTTATTTCCTGGAAAGACTTTTTTCTCACCTGTCATATTATTCATTTCACCACAAAATGCCAAAAAACATATTAATATTCACCTAATTCAGTTAGGGCATATGCAACACTTTTCAAGAAAATGTCGCAATACAGTTTTAGTAGTCCCAAACTTTGCTTGAGACCTGCTCCACTCCTCAATTTCCCTTATGCAAACAATACTAAATGGATACAAAAGACTTCCGTATACAAATTTTAAATTCAGCTTGATTATAAGTTCAGAATTTCAGTCAGAAACTGGATTCTCTCATGTTTGAGTAAGGGACATCTGTTTAAATAAATAGATAACGTTTGCCACTCGCAATCAAAAGGTTATCTTAAGTCGTGCTAGTAAGTGCCCCTGCCCGAGGTATGTCCCGTACCAGCACTTGGTCCAGGATTTTTCCCAATATCACAAGATTCAACTGGTCACAGCCAGTTACGTCTGGGTATTTGGACCAGTTGGAGACACCTGACCAAGGTGTCACCATCCAGGTACACAATGATTACACTCCTATGTACACACAAACCTGTTCCTCAGCCCCTGGTCTGTATTATTGCCCTACCTGTATTATGTAACATTTTAAACTTCAGACTTAAGAAGGAGATAGAGGTGCTGTGGTTGTTATTATTTGCACAATGTTGCAAGTCGGTGGCTGGGTTGTTATTGTTATGTTTACAAATGATTAAGCGCACTCGGGGGAAAAACACTTAAGTTCAACTGGTGAAAATGACCAATGCACAGACAGATTGACTAGAGTGATTATTTTGATAATGAGCTACAACATGGGACTAAGGAGATTCATTGTTTTACCAGGTCCTTTTGGAATTGTTGGAGATGAGGGGAGGGGGTAGTTGACAATCATAAGAACTAGGTGTTTTGTCCATTGAATGTCCAGGGATATTTTAAAATCTCTTCTTACCATAAGCAATAGCAAATATTGTCCTGTTGATAATCCATTAAGGGAGGCAAAGCTAAACATATTGCCTTGTTTACATCATTTGAGAATGACATAGCAGTTTAGAAAAAGTGGTATTGTGTTGACTTTGTTTTGTTACCTTTTGTGTATGTTTGTTTTGTGACTGCTATAATTATAAATAGGCTGGGGTAGCACTAACACTCCCCAATTTTGTCAAATGCTAAAACAGACTAAGTTGGCTGATCCAAAAAGGGTTCGTTTGATTTGTTAGTCAGATTTAAATCATTTGGAGAAAATTGATTATAAAAAGTAGTGATTTGGCTAAGTGAAAAAAGTGCTAGTGCTATCCTGGAAGCTTAGATATTAAGTTCAATATATCTGACTGGTTTCTGACTCTAATTCTTTGGTATGCTATGTAAATACATGTTGAAGAGAAAAATAAATAGTTTTGCTTAAGGGAAGTACTTCAGGAAGTTAGTTTATCATTGAGGGTTTCAAAAAAATGCTGAGTAATGGTTCTAAGGAGAGATGATGTAATGTTGTTTATATGCCTTTGCTGTGACCAGGTTGTTTAGAAATAAGAAACAATATCGTCAAACTTTAATTTTGGAATACTAAATGTGACTATTCTTATTCCACAAATCAAATCATTGAGAATGTAACAATAGTCTCAGATATGATTATTGAGAACTTCTGTGATTGCTTTTCACTTCATTTATTTATTTTTCATCTTATTCAGATAAAATTTGTGATCAGGTCAGTGATGCTATCCTCGATGCGCACCTGAGGCAAGACCCCGATGCCAAGGTGGCATGTGGTAAGTATGGGCTTTGTAATATCCAATCTTGACCTCTTAGTATCTGGCCTTAAATATTTCATCATTTCTGATGCAATATTTCATCTGCCATGTTTATACATAAATCATTTATTAATGACGTATGCTAAATGGTTAATTGCTTTTTTAATTTAGATGTGGGTAAGCAAATAAGTGTGTGGGAATGATAAGATATAAAAATTTTAATCATAAAATGTGTCAGAAAAAGTGATTGTCTTTGTAGTGTAGGGGACATAAGATATCTAAGATCAGTGTGCACTAAAATTCAAATGAGAGGTTTGACCGACATTGAATGTTATCTTAATTTCTTCTTAACTGATTTACTTGCTAAATTGTCTACTCAGAAGCAAACATGAAGAAATAAAAGACATTGCATGACAGACAGATTAGAGTTTACCTCATTCTTGTTGAAAATTTTTATCCCAGAAACTGTCACCAAGACTGGCATGGTATTAGTCTGCGGAGAGATCACCTCCAAGGCTCACGTCGACTATCAGAAAGTAATCAGAGACACAGTGAAAGAGATAGGATATGACTCTTCTGATAAAGGTAACCTTGCAGTATTCTTACATGGTGTTTTAAGTAGATACTCATTCAATTCAGTTGATGAAAAAACCCAGACATGCACTGGATAAGATAATTTACTTGAAAAATAAATGAAAAATTATCTTGTAGAGAGTCAACAATCTGATTTGGAAGAAGATTAAACTTAATTAAGATAAAGTTTATTAAAAATTAGATTTAGCACATTATCTGGGTGCTTGCTAGTCCCAGAGTTGGAATCCCAAATATGAAGACAATATAAGACGTTCCCAAGATTGTAGAATTTTAAAAAATGAGATCATTTTCTTTTCACATTTTCCTCTTATGCACTTCTAAAGGGGTCCTTGAAACACTTAAAAAACTATTAAATGGCACTGAATAGTATAATGATTCTCTATATCAAACTTTGCCTTTTTTTTAAACATACTTCTAACCACTGTTTTTATCATAGCTTTTAAACAGTTTTATCTCGCATGTGGTTTTGAGCCTTAATGCTAATTCATAATTTTAAGCTCTTTGTAATTGTCTTCCATGTTGTCAGGTTTTGACTATGAAACCTGTAATGTCCTGATGGCACTGGAGGAGCAGAGCCCAGAGATAGCACAAGGTGTCCATGTAGACCGCCATGAGGAAGAGGTCGGAGCTGGCGATCAGGTGAGTTTATAATAATAATTATTATTATTATTATTATTAGACAAGAAAAACTGCACTGATTCTGATATGGGAACCAGGGATGACTGTCGACTGCTAGGTGTAGAAAACAATATGTAGATAACAATTTGGCCCTTTTGTGACATTTCCAGTTAAAAGGGGTTATGTTGACCATGGCACGGTGCCATTACCAAATTAATTTTTTAACAAATTGTAGTGACATAGAAGTAAATTGGGATTGCTGGTTGAAGATTCAATGATATGACAAGATGGAAAGTAAGGGTGCCCAACTCTCTTCTTTTATGTTCAGTGACATTAACAACTTGTGCCTCATTTCAGGGTCTTATGTTTGGTTATGCAACAAATGAGACAGAAGAATGCATGCCACTGACTGTAGTTCTTGCACATAAAATGAACGCTAAGATTGCCGAACTTAGAAAGAATGGTGGACTGCCTTGGGCACGCCCAGATACCAAGACACAAGTGAGTTGATTCACTAGACAACAGATAAATATTTTTGTGGATAAAATGGTTTATGACTACAAGTTGTCTTACATTTTTTCAACATTTTACATTTTCATCTAAATGCTGTAATGAAGTGTAATGTTTGAATCAGAAATAATGATTTAAATAGAAAATTATTTTGTAATGTAAATATTATCTGGAAATGTGATTCATGCATCAAACTTTCAGTTTTGTATTTTGTTATTTTAATTAATTGGCCCCAATTTAATCAGGGATGAGATTTTTCCAACTATCGGCAGATTTCCAACTCTTTGGGAGCCAAAAATATCATTGGCCTAGGCGGGCCCCTGAACCCCATGCTATATTTTCAGACTTTTTCACTAAATAGCAATCTCAGCCCTGTTTAATGTATTCCATAGAGATGCCTGATGGCTAGGGGGAAGAGAATTTTCCTCTTGGTTTCGATTCTCCATCCCAACACACAAACAAGGTGGAGGCATGTTGGATTTAGGCTCCGTTTTTACCCAAAGAAAACAAAAACTCGTTTGGATTCAGACCCTTTTCTAACCAAAAAGAAAAGAAGCAGACCAGTTTGAGGTGCTCAGAAGTACTTTAAAGAATATGAAATTGTACATTCTTTGCTAAAATCTTTCTTCACTGCAACATAAAAGGGGTTGCAAAAAGTTTGCTTCTCAGACCACCCTACCTTAAAATCCTACATGTAATTGTGGTTAATAAAGTGGGAGCTTGCATTTTTGGTAAACCAACATGGGACATCATCACTAGACTAATTGTTCCATTTACTTGTAGGTGACCTGCGAGTACAAATTTGAGCGTGGAGCCACAGTGCCTATCCGAGTCCACACAATAGTCATATCAGTTCAACACAATCCTGAGGTTACGATGGACCAGCTTCGCAAAGAACTTATGGAGAAGGTTGTCAAAGTAGTGGTGCCAGAAAAGTACCTAGATGCTAAAACTGTCTACCATATTCAGCCATCTGGGAGCTTTATCATTGGTGGACCTAAGGTACAGATTCTTGGGGGAAAGTTCAAAAGCTGCATTATCTTTCACAAATTAATTTGAATTTTGTTTTATTTATTTGTATTGAATGATAAATGACTAGCAGTAAATTTCTTTCTATTGAAATAGAAAATATCAAATGCAGTTCTTGATTAAAGAAACGGACTGTTTAGAGCATCAGATAATGATAAAGCATTCGTTTTATATAACATAGCTGGGTATTTTTGCCTGCATTGTTCATTACAATCTCTTTTTTACCGGGCTATGGTTGAACAGTTCGCCTATTAAGGTATCTAATATTAAAGATATGAGAATGATTTTGTCAATAATATCATTTAAGGGGGATGCAGGTTTGACTGGCAGGAAAATCATTGTGGATACATACGGGGGCTGGGGAGCCCACGGAGGTGGTGCTTTCTCTGGCAAAGATTATACCAAAGTTGACCGCTCTGCTGCCTATGCGGCTCGCTGGGTTGCCAAATCACTCGTGAAGGCAGGGTTGTGCAAGCGTGTGTTAGTGCAGGTAGGTCAGAAGGCAACAAAATATTGTAAGAAACAAGATTCAAGTTGCACCTTGCCTTTAGGGGGGAAAGAAATGTAAAGTTTATTTTTAAAATGCACAATTAGAAATTAATGCTGGTTTAAGTGGAATTCCCTTTATTTTTCCCTATTGATGCTCTTTGTATTGTTACTTTTTTGTGATGTTTTAAACTGCTGGCAGTTGTGATACCTAATGAAGAATCTTCAAAATATGACATGTATGTTTCATTTCAGGTTGCTTATGCCATTGGCATAGCAGAGCCACTATCCATCACAATCTTTAGTTATGGAACATCAAGAATGTCAGAGAAGCAGTTGCTGCAGGTTGTGAAGAACAACTTTGACCTCAGACCAGGAAAGATTGTGCAGTAAGTTGAACTTATTTCTCTTATTAGAACTCTGTGGAGTAAGTTGATTTTTTTACCATAAAAAACACCGTATAATCTGGCTATTCCAACTGTATTGATGAACGAAGATGGTTACCATATTGGTTTATAGGGAATAACATGGTTTGCCTTATATCTCCTTGAGTTTTCAAGTTTTCCAATCTGTAAATTCTGAAGAATTAGAAATAAACAATATTAATCTATTTTTTTTTTTGTTCCAGAGCTCTTGATTTGAAAAAGCCCATTTACCAAAAAACTGCCTGCTATGGTCACTTTGGACGCGCCGAGTTCCCATGGGAGAAACCTAAACCTCTCCAATATTAGAGACACTGCAAAAGATAAATCATGACACCCACTTGATACAGTTCACATACACTTGCTCATTGCAATAGAGTAAGCACAAGGACCACAAACTCTATTGCCAGGTAGCACCTTTATGATGGCTATATCAAGAGACGCTTTAGACGAGATGGGTATCTAATAAGTTTTAACAAATCATGCATTTTGTTCTTCTTTCTTGTGGTAAATCAGGTTGACCACAGTAGTAAGAGCGTAGAACTAACCCGACACTAACAGTAGTCAGTGATTCATGGGGGAGTTGGGCTGCACCGGGGTCTCATGGTTTCAGCACCCTCTGGTGATTGTTACTGTTGTTAATACAGCTTGGTTTGTCGCTCTTCACTACTGCAAATGTGCAGTTTTTTTTCTGAGTAGGGTTTTTATATGCACATTTGTCTTGTGTTTATGAAAATTCATTGGAAAAGAGCACTATTTATAAACACTCGGGTCTACCGTATATTCAGATTGTGAAACAGTTTTCAGTTATATGTATATACAAGTTAAATGTACATGTAAATATTTCAGATAATTTCATTATTTTATTGGTAATTCGACTGTGTCATAATTCCTCTGTGCCTGTTTGAATACAACAATGAAGAACGACGTAGATAAAGACCATTCAGTTATATGAAGTTGCTCAACTGTTGTGAGGTTAAGTAAGATTTTATTTTGACACTGTATAGTGTTATTGTTTTATTAATATTATACAATTTTATTCCAAGGGGTTTCATTAAGAATACTTAAAGCAGCTATCAATATAACTGATTAAAGAAAATTTATCTTAATACGTGAAGTGGTTTGGCAGACCCAATTTTCATGAAAGTTGCCATTGCACCCCGAGTTTAAGTGTCTTCTGGAATCTCACCTTTTTATCTGCATGCCTGTGACGTTTCCATGCACGGTGACCGAAAAACATGCTTAGTATAGGAAGTTACCGTGTGTACTCTCAAACTCGGGGTGAAGATCTGGACTGCAAAGTAATTAGAGTTTGGAAGTTCATTCAGTTGAGACTAGATATTACAAGTGCATTTGATGTATTGTAATCATCTGCTACTGAGTAGCAAACAGTGGTGTTCATATCCGAGGTGAAAAGCACATATGAGGTCGCAAATAATTGTTTTTGAAAATGTTGAAATGCTGCTTATGTTGGTGAAAAGGCTTGATATTTTGCATTTGTAAATTTCAGGTATTGTATTGGTGTTCATCAATAAACATGTTATAAGAAAATTTAGAAAAAAACCTTGGTCTTTCCTATGCAGTTGTTTATTAGAGATATTGGATACGATTTCAGACAATATTGATGAGCAGGCTACGGGGCTCAGATTACAGTTTTCATACAGCATTCTTTAATGTTTGCTGGAATACTGTTTTACCAAACGGGTGCAACACATAACCAAGGAAAATGATAACAACCTAAAACGACAATATAAGCGGAAAACCCAGTCTTATAGTATTGCTCTCTATGCACAACACTTGACCCAAAGCTGCATGAAACAAATTGTGGCTTCCGTCTTTTTATGAAAAACTCAAACCTTTTGTTCAAAATAAAGTTCAAGGATAAGCATTATCAACGGATTCCTGTAGGGCTTAGCTGTTCTGTTTGGTATGTTGTGGACAGTCATCTTATTATTAACCTTTTAAAGGGACATGCAAAAGAAAAAAACATGTTCATCATTTGAGCCCAATAAGTGTTATGTTTAAACGCAATTTTTGTGAGGGAATGCAATCATTTTCACCCTCGAACACAATTATCTTTCACTCCATGGCGATGACAGTCTGGTCTTCATGTTACAATTATCTCGAACGTAAAAGCTTATCACCACAAGTATTTTTATTTTTCAAGAACCCAGGCTCAAATCTGCTTGCGGTTTCACCATACCCAACTAATTTTCAGAGTATTTTGACATCATCCAGTATTCTCAATTCTCAATCGTCAATAAAATTTATGAATATATTACCATCTCTCTGTCTTGCTCAGCACCCCATCCCTCTTTTTGTCAGCAGTATAACAAATATTTTAATTTTTTTTAAATATTACATTTTTGTTTTAACCAAGGGTTTTATTTATCTTTCTTTGCATGCATTATCCATCTCACACCTGCCTACTGATGGTGGTGTGTTACTCCTTCCTTTTTGGATTTTAATATGTAAAATATATGCATGTCAGGAGTGTTATCTGCCCAATTTTTACAATGAAGCTTGCAAAAATTTGAACATCTTCAAGATACTCTAATGTTACAGGTTGTAAGATGGCCACTGAAAAAAAAAATCACATTTTTTCCTATGCATATGTAAATTTATATTAAAAAATATGCACTTCCATGTTAAATCATTTTGGTGCACACAATAAAAAACATTATTACATGTAATGTGTTTCATAATTCCATTACAGATATTAAATAAAAAATTGCAAGGTGCATCTAGTCTTACTTACATAACAGCAATTTGAAGAAAGCAAGTATAACAGCCAGGTGTTTCTTTTTTCGTGCCAGTATATATATGTAAAATGGCAAGGTAAACACCGACTATGCAAAGGACGAAAATGGTAAGTACGAGTTGAAGAGAAAATAATAAGATTTTTAAAATTAAGAATATTAGCAAACTTAATAAAATCACTGTAATTCATAGAAAAAAGGTACATTCCTCGAACAAACAATATTACACCTGAAAATGCCCCTAGCAGTGACACATTTGGTGGTGAGCCAGAGGGGCCTCTCAGGAAAAGAACTAAATTTTGAGGCAAAAAGAAATACACTACCACAAGGGGGCATTAAGGATTATTTGAAGGGGGAGGGAGGGGGGTCCGCGGATGCTTAGCCAACCCTTTGTAGATATTTGCTTCTATCAGCAGCATTTGTAGCAGATGTGGTACTGGCACGCTAATGATTTTTGCTAAAAGGGGAGGGGGGGATAAAAAAAAAACGCATCATTCTGTCTTGTTTCAATCATTCTTTGTGTGTGTGTGTGTGTGGGGGGTGGGGGGGGGCAGGGGGGGAGGGGGGTAAAACAATGAATACAAAGTAGACAACATGACACCAGAAAGCTTTAAACTTTATTTCTAATTAAACATTACAAAATTAACAGAAACCCGATTTATTGTTTATTTTCAAATGCTTAAATTGCAGATTGGTGCAGATTGTCTAATTAATATGCTTCATTCTATTCAACTTCATTTTGGATTAATTTATTCAACATCCCAGGAACAAATAATTCTATAATGAAAAAGGAAAACTTCTTTAAGGAAAACTGCCCACCTTTGTAACAAATGTTATAACAAAAATATACAGTTTAACATCAATACGTACTTTCATTTTATTTCTGTTTACTTTTAAGTAATGTTAAAACATTGAAATGTAGATCAACAAGTAAGGAATTAAGCAAGCTTGCTTTGAAATCGTTTGGATCATTGGTATAATGTCAAGTAACTGGCCACTTCCGATTTTAAGTACATTTTTGATTTAGAGAATGAAAGGTACTCGTGTAAAGTGGTTATTGCTCAACCACACTTAAGAAAATCAGAAAAGCAGTGACATGCGATCCTCCCTCGAGGAATGACTGTGTGCACCCAGCATCATCAGGAGGAAAGGGATTAGAATTAGTAGGGTAACAGAAAGGACTTAGATTATGATTTTCTCAATGCCATGCTAAACAATTCCCCTGTCATCAGAGGCAAATATTTTATAAATACTAATTCCAAACGATTGGCTGAAATGTGGATAATAATTACTGTAGGCAATACCAATGTTTCTGAAATTGACCTGACACATTTCTCATATAGACCTATTGTAAAAACTTATTGTAAAAACTGCAAACAAGATTATCGGGCAGGATCTACCAAAGCTGGATGATATTTTTAAAGACAGAATGGAGAAAAGAACCGTCAACACCATGGAAGACTCTTCTCATCCTGCATCATCACTTTTCACGCTTTTACCAATACAGTAGTAGACTTTTAACTTTTTAAGGCAGTAAGCGCTTTTTTTTAAACAGGTTTTACCTAAGTACAGTGATGCATTTTAATTTGATCTCAAAACCAAATTCTTAATTTATCTATTATATTACTTTTACTCTGTATTTTATCAAACTTGATCCAAATGGAAAATAATTTCTGATTTTTAAATAAAGTCTTATCTTATCTAAGACCTATAGCTACATGTAGTGCAGATTAACCAATTAAAAATATAAAAATATATACTAAATTAATTATATACATATGAAATGAGAACTATCCCACTTAAGTTAGATAAGATATCAAAGTACGTTCAAACGCACAAGTGAAAAAATATCTAATTAATCTCCATAAAACCACATCTAACAAACTTTTTAAATAAACCATAAACAAAATAAAATAGCCTGCATTTGCAATTATTTGTGAAAACTATTTACATACTTGTATGTGCACATGTATTAACAATATTTTTTCCAACAAAGAGTTAGATCTATTTCAAACAGAGTTAGATCAATTCGGTGCATTGGGTTTGTTATAACATGCATTGTGATTCTCTGTAATCATTAGCCATGGTCCATCATCTTCTTTGGCTTGTAAAAAGAAATAAAAAACAAGATTAGATATTTTCAATTTATCCATCCCACTTTTTCAAAAAAATAAAATTTACTAACCTTAGCTTGTATCGAAGAGTGAAGTCCATGTCTGGGTGGGGTCTCTCATCATCTTCTTTGTCCTCTAAAAAGAAATGAAAAACAATATTAGATTTTTTTCAATTTACTCGTCCCACCACTTCAAAAAAATAAAATTTACTAACCTTAGTTTGAATCCAAGAGTGAAGTCCAGTCCGGGTGGAGTAGATCATCATCTTCTTTATCCTGTAAAAAGAAATGAAAAACAAGATTGGATTTTTTCAATTTAGCCATCCCACCATTTCCAATAGTACAAATTTACAAACCTTACCGTGGATCCAAGCGCGAGGTTCATGNCATATATGCAACACTGTAAACACAATATAAGAATAACAGATAGGCCTGTTGTCGTGAAACTCTCAGGAGTAATCGATCTTACTAAAACGCAGGTCAAGTTCGAAAATCGGCATGCAGCCCGAGTTGGAAAAGCAGTCTAATTGGCTTCTTTTTCTGGAAGTTATACATTTTCAAAGTGTGAATGTGAACTCTCATGGGCCTGAAGCCTTATGCTTGTTACACATTTTACTTACATTGATATTACCTGTTGAGCATAATTAAGATTTGATGTTGAATTTGCAGTTAAACATAATGTACTTTTGCATCAGAATTGACAGTAGCCTATTTTGTGCATATTTATTTCCTGCTTTTTGTCTGTACATTTGACAGCTTTGCTGCCTTGTTTCAATTTACCCATCCCACCACCTCCAAAAAATAAAATTTACAAACCTAAGCTTGGATCCAAGAGTGAAGTCCATGTCTGGGTGGGGTCGCTCATAATCTTCTTTGTCCTGTAAAAAGAAATGAAAAACAAGATTAGATTTTTTCAATTTACCCATCCCACCACCCCCAAAAAATGAAATATACTAACCTTAGCTTGGATCCAAGAGTGAAGTCCATGTCTGGGTGGGGTGAGGTCGCTCATCATCTTCTTTGTCCTCTAAAAAGAAATGAAAAACAATATTAGATTTTTTTCAATTTAGCCATCCCACCACTTCAAATAAATAAAATTTACTAACCTTAGCGTCGATCCAAGAGTGAAGTCCATGTCTGGGTGGGGTCACTCATCATAATCTTTGTCCTGAAAAAAGAAATATAAAACAAGATTAGATTTTTTTCAATTTACTTGTCCCACCACTATAAAAAAATAAAATTTACTAACCTAAGCTTGGATCCAAGAGTGAAGTCCAGCCCAGGTAGAGTCGCTCATCATCTTCTTTGTCCTGTAAAAAGAAATGAAAAACAATATTAGTTTCTTTCAATTTACTCGTCCCACCACTTCAAAAAAATAAAATTTACTAACCTTAGGGTGGATCCATTAGTGAAGTCCATGTCCGGGTGGGGTCGTTCATCATCTTCTTTGTCCTGTAAAAAGAAATGAAAA